CTTGTCTTCTAATTGTTTTATTTTCGCCCTAAAAAGGTTCATTGGACACCGAGGGATGCGCGAACTGTGAGACGCGTTCCTAGCCCATCAACCAGAGGTAGAGAAATACGCGGCGACCGAAGGATTCAGCTTCGACTTTATACCACCCAGGGCGCCGCACTTTGGCGGGTTGTGGGAAGCGGCAGTGAAGTCCGCCAAACACCTTCTCGTGCGCACAATCGGCAACGCGCTGCTCACCGCCGAAGAACTGCAAACGCTGCTCGCGGAAATAGAGCCGATTCTGAACTCTCGGCCACTCACGCCAATGAGCCAGGACCCCAACGACGGCGAGGCGCTAACACCAGCGCATCTGCTAATTGGATGCCCACTGCGGGCGCTACCACTAGCGCAGGTGCCAACGGACCCAATGCGTTGATGGCAACTTGTTTGCTGTCTCAAGCAACAGTTTTGGCGACAGTGGCCCAAGAATTCCTACAGGAGCGCAACAAATGGCTCTACCCGCAGCGCAATCTGCAGCTCAACGACCTCGTCCTGGTTCAGGAGGACAACATCCCACCTCAGCAGTGGGTGCTCGGCCGCGTCGCCGCAATCGTTCCAGGGCTAGACGGCAAGGTTCGAGTCGCAGACGTCGTAACCAAAGCGGGCGTAATTAAGCGCCCAATTCACAAACTCGCCGCACTACCCGTTGAAGTTGAAGGATCCTGATCCTGTCAAGGTGGCCGGTGTTGCGCCAGATTTTCTAGTTTTGAATTCCTAATTGAAAATGAGTTCTCAACATAAATATATTTCGAAATTAAATTATTATACTTACCTCACTTACGAAGTAAACCTATTGTCTAACATACTTACCACTTACATACATACTTGCCCGATTATATTCAACTACCTATTTGCTCTATACTTACCTTATTTACGTATTTCTACATGCATACTTACATTATTATTGTATATAATTTCTTAAAGCCGTTGAACTCATATACTTGTTATGTACATATTAACAACTGCCCAAAGGGTGTGATTATGCATACTTCGCACTACCATTAGTACCAGTGCACTAAAAGTGTAACTTAAGAAAATGTGGAGCAAAATCTAAACTCAACAGATCGCTATGTTTTTAAAAGTTCTGCTAATTCCTGGGTATTGGAATACATACAAAATACATACAAAGTACATACGAAATTATAGTTTGAAGTTTATGCGAAGTTGTGCGAAGTTATGCGAAGCATGCATAATCAGACCATAAGCCGTTAGTTTTAAGGCGTAGGCTAAGTGAGATGAAATTGAAAATAAAGAAGTCACTTGTAAAGTATCATCGAGAAAGCGCACATCGTTCGTTATTTCATACGAGGGACTAGGCATTGTTGTTGCTATCGCGCACTGCCCGACAACCACACAGTTTACGCAAGTTATTTTCTTAAAAAAGCATACAAACACGGACACAGTGGTTACTACTATTTGCAGTTGTGAACAGTTTAAATACCGCAAGTGCTACAGTTCTCAAATCAGAAGAACTAAAATAAAATATACAGTTTTAGACATTAACAATTTATTTAATAAACACATATATACTTACGTTGTGTATATAAGAAGTCACCGCTACTCACAACTACTTGAATCCTTTTCGTCATCATCGTCGGTGAATTTTTTGCTGCCGTCACCGCTGCCTCATGTACTGCTTCCTGCCAACGCTGCTGAGCCACTGTAGTTGCTGTTACTACCGCTGCCGCCTGGGATGAGCTGCAATTGCCTGATTTGTCAGAGGGAAGTGAAAGCAGGCAAAACGCCTACGCATTCACATAAGGTAACGAGTGCGAACAATTGAAAGCTGTGTCTTAAACGAAATAAAATTTTATACAAATAAAATTAAAATAAATCAAAATTAAATTATTAATTATTAATCGCACTTTCAATTATTGGCATCTCCTTGGTCACTACATACGTATATAAGTAAACATACATATGTAAGTGCAAGAGCACAACAACAAAACGTATGTACATACTTGTGCTAAGCGCTGCTTGCTAAAAAATACATGCGCATGTACATACAAAGAAGAACCTTGAAAGATCCAGAACTTCGCAAAATGTATCTGGACTTCATGAATGAATATACAGAATTGGCTCATATGACCCAATTCTATATATTCACTCATCAAGTCCAGATACATTTTGCGAAGTTCTGGATCTTTCAAGGTTCTTCTCTCCAGGGCCTGAAACCGCCGAGATGCGGTTTCATTGGAATGACCGAGTAACTTACGGTCAGTTTTGAATGGCAATCTTACTTGAAGCCTTCCTGCCGGCAGAACTTGAGTAGTTCTTACGAAAAATGTTTCACATTCTGTTTGCTCAGGTGTAAGTTTTCTGGAATTTGCTTGTGAAGGTAATTCTTCTTAAGCCCAGAATCTTTGGACCACCGAATCTATTGTCGATAATTCATCTTCAGTTTGGCATAATGTGCTACTAACTTGGGGAGGAGGCTAATGGTTGGTGGTGTATTTGCCAGACACAACCCAGCCCAGAAGAGTTTTCTGTAGAGTTGGGTGGTTTGGGCCAGTTCTAATCTGGCCTATAGCTAGAAGCTCGAAGAATGTTTCGGCACCAAACAACAAATCAATTTTTTGCGATTTATGGAATTCTGGATCCGCCAAATTAATACTTTTTGGTATTTTCCAGCCAGTAATATTAACGTTTCGGTCTGGATGGTTAGCTGAAATGGACCGCATAATCCAGAATTCTGCCGAGAACTCATAATTATTAACCCGCGATTTCACAAATGCATTTAATTTCGTCCTTACTTTCTGATTCGCATTGCCGATGCCGATGACGTTTAGAGTTACTCCTTGACGACGAATCCGCAATTTCTCCGCCAAATCTTCGGTCATGAAGTTCACCTGAGATCCAGAATCCAACAAGGCTCGTGCAGGCAGGTATTCTCCGGAGCTACTTTTTACGTTAACTGAAACTGTGGCCAACATAACACGATCTGGCGCACTCGTTGTGTGCATGACATGTGAGGTCGAAGGTTGAAGTGCAGTTTCGAAAGATATTGGATGCTGGTGCAGCAAGGTGTGATGCGAACGATTACAAATCCGACACCGATCTGCTCTGCACTTTGAAACCGTGTGCCCCTTTCGTAAACAGTTTATGCATAAGGGGACTGATTTCGCAAACTCAAATCGCTGCTTTGCAGAGAGAGTTTTGGAAGTAGGACACGCAGATATGTTATGATCCTTGGACTTACAGTGTGGATACACCGGCTGTTTTGAATTCGAAGTCATTAAGGCAGACTTCGTCTTTTCCGTATGCTGGTTGAGTTTTTGCGTACCAGCGCTGGTGGATGACTTCTGTCTCGAATTTGAGGCTTCATCGGCGGATAAATGCTGATAGCGCTTATTTAACGCAGCTTCGCAGTCTCGCCATAACGGCAACTTGTCATAATCCAGCTGTTCTTCCCGTTTGGACCGAGTAATGGTGTCAACTTTCGACATTACCAGATGGATTATGATTGCGTTTGTGATATTTTTTCTCGTCACCCAACGACAGCAGTGAGTCATAAACAGCCGACACTGTATCAATCATCGTGCGCAATGAAAGCGCAGAGGGCTTTGAGATATTTGGCAGCTCAAAAAGTTTAGAAATTGTGTCGAAAAATATTAAGCATTTGTTATCATAAACTTTTTTGAGACTAGCCAAAGCCTTCGAATAATTTTCGTCCGACATTTGGAAGGCCTTTACCGTTCCCAAAGCCTCACCAGACAGACAGTTAACCAAGTGGTTAAATTCCTCAATATCTGGGATTGTAGGATCGTTGTGTACAAGGCTCTCGAACAAGCTCATGAAGTCTTTGAACTCCGAATACTGTCCTTTAAATTTTGGCAAATTCATTTTAGGGAGTCTTGAGCTGTGAGGCGCTACGAAAGAAGTTTCGGCAACTGAAGTTTTGTTTTTCGCCAAATTTGATTTAATAATGGCTTTCGTTTCGAGAATTGTGTCCTCTAACTCCCCACGGGTCATGTCTTCTTCATCGATTTCCACAATTTTGGCTTGACATTTCATTCGCTGTTTGCGTTCAACATGTCAAGCCGACACTCTAATTCTTCTGGATGGGTCGAAATTGATTTATCCAGAATGCCCGATTTTACTCGCTGTATGCTCCTCTTTAAAATCGACCTTTGTCGTTTTAAAGCCTTGGTGTCCTCAACCTGGTCTTGTGGATTTTCAGTCTTGCTCATTTGTATTAAGCGAATTACTAAGTTGACGAAAGGTGGTTATTCCAAATTCCTACGAGAACAACTAGAGATTTAGGAGTTATGGCTTAAAAAACAATGACGAAAGATGGCTGAACAAATCTCGACCAAAAATATGAAAACCACTGTTGGAAAATGCAGCGAAAATAAACAAGCGCAGTCGCACAATGCAAGAATTTGACGAAAATTGTACCAAAGAGGCGAAAAGTCGCAAATTTTTGGTTTGTTTAAACTTATTTAGTATTTTTAAGGAAAATACAAACTAGTTTTATATGAGTGAACAGATGAGTGTAATTGACTTTATTTTATCTTGTTTATTTACTTTAAATATCGAACAAAAAATTTAAATTTGCGATAGCAGTTCGGAATTACGATTTTGCGTCAAATATTGTCACACCTTTTATCCGCAAGATCCCACGGTACCCTTGTTTCACTTTTACAGTACGTATGTATGTACTTGTATGTACATGCGCATGTATGTATGTACATATGTATAGTTGCACATATGTAGGTAAATATGCATGTTTACTTATATACGTATGTAGTGGCCAAGGAGATGCCAATAATTGAAAGTGCGATAAATAATTAATAATTTAATTTTGATTTATTTTAATTTTATTTGTATGAAATTTTATTTCGTTTAAGACACATCTTTCAATTGTTCGCACTCGTTACCTTATGTGAAT